GTTGTGTCAAATTCAATTAGTTCTCACGAATTTGTCATGTGGGGGTGTTAATTTTACTTAATCAATTCCCTGTTAGAATTCTTATAACAAGTGTCGTGTTCTCTGGTGTGCCTTCATCTCGAGCTACACCCCTCCGCAGTTGCAGTTTTTTTTACAAAAAAAAAAAACAGCTGTGTCACGTTCTAAAATGGCAAGCAAAACTGCTGTTGTTAACTTCTTCATATAAAATGCTACTGAATCTGACAGATGTTACTCGTATTTTTATACAGATCTTGGGCTCTCGGAGTATTCGAGAATACACATTTAGAAAAGAACTCTGAAGTAAAAATTGGGACCTGAGACATAGGGAGTAACAGTTTAGCGATAAATACGTTTTATATGCAATATAGAAAATGGAGTTTGAATTTATTTTGTTCTGACGAATATTATTTGGGTGATCCAGTGTAGGATGATAAAATAGGCTGGACGTGTACCATGCACTGGAGAAAAATTTATACCAAATTTTAGTTAGAAAGACTGATGGGAAGAGACCTAGACATAGATGGGAGGGGTCTCTCTCTCTCTCTCTCTCTCTCTCTCTCTCGCAGACACAGTAATGAGCCTTTGGGGAATTTTTGACAAGCTGAGCGATGTCAGCTTTTCAACAGGGACTCTCTCCATGGAGTTCAGCAGTGTTAGTGTCGTGTGTGTTATTCAGTACATGGTCTGGTGGGATGTCATGTCCATCCCAACTCTTGTCAGCATAAGAACACATTTATGTGTATTTTAAACGCAAGTGCATGGCATAGACAAGAAAAGTAGACATTGATTACTCGCCACAGATTCGGGTTCAAAGCCAGCACGGCACATGGACTATTTTTTTTATGTACGGCGTTGAACTGGGGCAATCTACTTCTGGATCATCTGCCAAGAACGTATATGAACAGGTCCCAGTCCGAGAAAAGGATGGAAGGATCCCGTTCATATGGACCTGTCGTCACACAGAACACTAAATAATAATAAGATGAGGTGGTCTAGCGGTTAGAACGCTGGCCTTGTAATCCTGGGGTCTCGGGTTCGATTCCCGGCGGTGCCCGAATTTATAACTTGTGTTGGGCAAGGCCGTGGTCTAGGCAACACTCCGTGGCATCCCAACAATTACTGCATTCACACACAGAAGAAGGCAATGGCAAACCACTTTTGGATCATCTGCCAAGAACGTATATGAACAGGTCCCAGTCCGAGAAAAGGATGGAAGGATCCTGTTCATATGGACCTGTCGTCAGACAGAACACTAAATAAATAATAACCAGAACACTCCTTATTTGGGATTTAAACATTAACCTGACATAATGAGGTACTCGTAACAGAGAAGAAAATTATGCATAAACGTTTATTTATTTATTTGTGGAAGAAATGTAACCTTAAAACGAACCAGACTAAAATCAAAATGGTGTGACAGATTTACAATTCCGTCTGTTCGACCAAAGTAGTTTTGTCATACCTTCTGTGGACACTCCAAAGAAAATTGTCTCATATGGCATTCCAGGTATATATTAGTGTTTCTATGTTTAATAATTTAATTCCAGCTTTCACGAAACCAGAGTCATTTGCATTTGTAAATACTATCGTTTTAAACTGTCTTTCAGTGAACGAATTGAGATAAGCGGAACGTGTGATATTTCTGTTAATGTCTCATAAACAGCACATGATTTAATAAATGTTCTGTTTCCTGTTAAGGTGGCATCACTGTAATGCCGTCTGCTCTACTCCAGAGTGGTTATAGTGACTACCGTTTCGCCAAGGAAAATAATTCCTGCTTTCGAAGTAATTTTATGTGCGTCACACTCTTCTAAGAAGCATTTTTAATGTTGTGTCTAGTGTTAAATATTGCATTCGAAATGATATTATTTATAGTATGTAGATGACTGGCCAGTCCCGTTAGAATAAAAATTATAAGTATTATTCTGTAATTAAATATAGTTTTATTGGCAGTGATGCCATCTGGTAACAGGCCCGGCTGGTGTGTTGCAAGAATTACGAGTAATACCGATGTTGTTTTGATATGATACTCTCCATAATATTTTCTTCCATATTTAAGATCAATTTCTTGAGATTCGGGTTCAGGGAAAATAATAACATTCCTTAAATAGGTCTGAAGCTTCATTTGTTTACTCGGCATTGTTGTGTTGGTATACCAACACAACAATGCCGAGTAAACAAATGGGTACAAATTGGTTGGCGACGACGACAGATCACAATTTTTTATAAAAAAAAAATAATGATTGTGTGTTGTGGAGTCCGGGTTTTTGAAGTGTTAGTTTGTTATTTCAGAGGTAAGTGACTGTGTAAATTTAATTATATGTTTTATGATTAATTTTTATTAAACTTTTTAATATCATTAAAAATAGGTTAAGCTTAGGAATAATCAAAGGCTGGAGATGGACGCCAAAACTGCATAAATAATATTTCGATATTCACTACTGCAGTTTTGGTGAACTTCTATGAGACTACACAACCCAGAAGACAGAAACCATCTTGTTTTCACTGCAGTTTTATTTACGATAATTTGCGCATTCAATATTTAAGTTAATTTTTGCATATTTTGTCAAGGGCGTTTAGCTTTAGATAAGCGAAGAACACCTCTTGAGGTCGTAACACGAGGGCGCTATTAACCATCCTCATTCACGATCCTCTGCGCATGTGTATCAATTACCTAACCTAACCTAACTTCCTGACAAGTGATATTCGTCGGTACGTGTTTAATAACTGGGTAGTATCTGTAGGAATCAATAAAAACTTCGTATAGATGTTATGCCGTTGGTCACAACCTACAAGTGTGATGTCCGTTCTGTTTTATTTAATAACATGATAATGGCTTTAGAGATTTTTAGACTTTATACCGTAGTCAGCGATCACGAATTTACGATTTACGAATTTGCTTGTAGTCGTACGAGGTGGAATGATGACGTCATTACCCATGATTCTCCATGCATGCGCGTGCGTAATGAAACCTAACCTCACTTCACGTCACCAGTGATGTCATCTCACGCTTAGCTAATCGGGAATGGCTTTACGGATTTTAATTAATTTTTGTGGACAGATTTCCTGGCAACTTAATTGACATTCTGTTTTTGAATATTCTCAAACTGGTTCTTTGCATGAATCCAAATCAGACTTTTGCATCACTGTACAAATCATTGTTGAGTACGTAATTCAATTATGTAGCCCTTAAAATATGAAGACCATGGGGAAGTACACTGGACACATGTGGGATATGTATGTGCCCTGTGTTGTTGCGTTCTGGTTTTGTGGATTTGTTAGTGTATCAAATGATTTTGTTACATACGCCGTCTTGTTTCGTGTGTTGCAGGAAGCATCTACAGGCGTGGTGCAAGAAGGTGGCGGAAACTGTACCGTGTGAATGGACACATCTTCCAAGCCAAGCGGTTCAACCGAGTAAGTTATGCTCGGGTCTATTTGGCTGCAAAACTATCCAATTTAATGTTCTTTACATTCTATGTCCCTCATAAACATAGCTCTGTAAATTTTTCTTTAATGTGGTGTTATATAAAGGAAGAATCCCAGTGGGACCAAGGGATCATGAGGAAATGTGATTGGAAATAATTTCCAGTGGTTTCCAGTAAATGATTCCTCGTTGGTCACTCAGAGATTGTATTGAAGCACGTCAGTTACGTTTTATAATAAAAGATGACAGTGTGGGACTCGAAAAAGTAAAATGGAAACAGGTAGAGTACTGTTAATTTTTAAAAATATAAATAATATTTTAATGTATTTGTGTTCAAATAAGAATGTTAGCGCAAGGAATGGATTTAAGCTACCAGTTCAATTTCATGGCATTCGTACTCGGCTTAAGAGTAGGAATGTCATTTTATAACCGTAGAAAATGTCAGGCGGTTAATATATGTATATCGGTTGCAGAATCACAAGAGGCCAACAGACAGAGAAGTTACTTTATAAATGTAAATGCAATTGGCATTGGATTACGATCACTAATTATTGAATTGTTTTTATTTCAGCGAGCATTTTGTGCCTTTTGCCAGGACCGCATCTGGGGTTTGGGTCGCCAAGGCTTCAAATGTATACAGTGTAAATTATTGGTACATAAAAAATGTCATAAATTGGTGCAGAAACCCTGCAGTAATGAACAAGTGGAGCCTATATTCAAGGAAGAGACAAACGGGGAGACGCCAACAATCAGTAAGTTACGACGTCACTCTCTAGTCACAATAAAATTATGTGTAATGTCAACTTCCTCTTCTTCTGTGGCTCTCCGGTCCGTATTCGGTCCACGGCCTCCTCAGTTCTCCTTTTCCATTTGATCCTCTGTTAGGTCCGTCTGTCCGAGGCTTTGATCGAGGTTTCGAAACATCTTCCTTTTTACGGCGCAAGGTTGTTAGCCTTGCGACCGACCCCCAACCTGGAGGACCAGGGTACCTCTCCCCCTCGACCAATCTGGCTAGGGAGCCCCTACCAGTAGCCCTTGGGGTCACCGAGGTACTCGGCCCCACCACCACGACAAGGCGCAGGTACCATTAAGTGGGGAGTAATATCAAATAAGGCTTAAAAATTAAAATTAGCCAAGTTGAATCATAAATGAAGGTATGTGAGGGGATTTGCAGTGAAATTTGACTCGGTTGAGCAATTAGCTTAATGTTTCTACATTCTTACTCCCAAGGAAATAGTTCTCACAGCCCGTCAGAAGCGTGAGTAGACTCGAGAGTCAGCTGTTAATCTGTGTACGAAATTAGGTTTCTGGTAAATTTACTTTTGATGTAGTTTAATCCTCTCGAGCGATTGATGCCGTCGTATTGAATCGTGCCCTCGGCGGCTGTATGACGTGGTGAATTTTTCAGGTACGCCAACATCTGAACTGTTACCAGATCTGAAGGAATTTCCTGAACCCCGATTGGACCTCACTTCGGACTCTGTCCCCGTCGAGGATCCGACGAAAAGTAAGTACCCGTTCCTGTCGGAGGAATTTACGATTCTACACGTTTCATTGTCTCTTATGGAATCTGGAATTTTGTTCACAGCAAAATAAACACTTGACTGTACCCTGAGCCAGGTGAATTCAGTCCATACTCTCATACTTTTTAACATCCATTTTAATATTATACTCTTGTGTACGATAGATATAAATACTGAATATGCGATGGTAGTCTTTTGTGTTTCGTACATTTTGTTTGGTTCTGTGCAAAACGTGTTTTATTTTCTAGCGTTCCGTTCGAACATTGAACTTTTTGTAGAAGAAAATGCTTAAATTTTATTGCAGCTGAGGAATCTTTGGAACCAGGGTCGCAGCGACAGTATTCCCTGGTCGACTTTGAACTGATCCGCGTTATTGGCAGGGGCAGCTACGCCAAAGTCTTGATGGTGGAGCTCAAGAAAACACACCGTATATATGCTATGAAAGTCATCAAGAAAGCTCTCGTGACTGATGATGAGGTGAGTGAATTGCTTCTGTTTTGTGTCACGTCAGATTATTCTCTGCGTGGATCAAGACTGTCTTCATAATCAGGGCAACGAGCGATCGCCTCGTCGCTTCTAAACCTCAGTAAACGTCTACCACACTTAGCAGCACATACAAACCTGCCGTATTCTCCGCACCTGTTGATATGGTGGTGATGACGATGATTCCACTGCTGTCTTGCAGGATATCGACTGGGTCCAGACAGAAAAGCATGTGTTTGAGACAGCCTCAAACCACCCCTTCCTGGTGGGACTGCATTCGTGCTTCCAGACGCCAAGCCGACTCTTCTTCGTCATCGAATTTGTTCGAGGAGGAGATCTCATGTTCCACATGCAGCGGCAGCGCAGACTTCCAGAAGAGCATGCGCGCTTCTACGCGGCTGAGATCAGCCTCGCTCTGAACTTTCTACATGATAAAGGTTATAATTGTTTTCTGAGGTACCATGTAGGTTTTTGTTCTGGTATGGATTCACGTTATAGAACGTCTTCGTTGTAGACGGCCCTGCCTCGGATAGATTCCTTTGCCATTTCAAAGGCTGTGAAGGCCAAATGAGACTGTACATCAGTGGTCCCCAACCTTTTTGTGCCTACGGGAACATTTGAGAGTTTATGAGATCGTGGCGGGCACCAACCAATTAAGAAAGCCAAATTTTCTTTTCTCTGTGGACAAATAAGATATGGACACCAAATAATACACAAAACAACACGACGTTTAATGATACAAGAAACCACGCAATCAAAAATACGTAGTTTTATAAGTACAATTATTATTACTCAAGTGGGGAGTTAGTGTGATGTTTGGCGCTGCATTTCATCGGCCAATTTTTCAAATTTGGGAGTGTAGGATGATGTTGCTGCTCGAAAACAATCGTCAAGATGGGCGTCAGTAAGTCGAGATCCGCGCTTTGATTTTATAATGTTCATGGTTGAACGACCTTCATTATTCAGTATAACCTCTTTCCGTAACAACGCGGGCACCCAAGAAAAGCCTTGGCGGGCGCCGCGTTGGGGACCGCTGAGCTACAAGATGACGCATAACGGCAACTTCGTAGCAAATTGGTTGAGATTGATGATTGCGTTTTGTACATTTCATATCCAAGGAAATCAGATCTTAAAATCATTTTATGTATTAACATAAGACATGTTTGAGAACATATGCTCCTAGGAAGATGGAGAAAATTACATAATGAGGAGCATCATAATTTATTTCTTCTAGATATTTATTAGGGTGATCAAATCAGGGAGGATGAGACGGACATGACGTGTAGCACATGTGGGAGGTGATCATAGTTGGAAAACCTGAAGGAAGAGACCCTTGAGGGGCCTTGATGTCACAGGAAAGGGTCTAATGATGGGCTCACAGTATCGGTCATTCCAGTCTATAAAAGGTTAAAGCTTTTCTTGAATACTTTAGCGACTATCGGCATCCCAGAAAGGACCGTGTTTTTTATGAATTTGTTAATCGTAGACGGCATTTTAAGGTGGACGTCATAAGGTGAAAAGGAAGAAATCGCTTGATTCATTTGCCGAACGATGATCCTACACGATGCAGTCAATTGATTCGTCGTTGAGATCGCTGAAAAATCCTCAACAGAAATAAGATAATCTCCATCTTGTTGCAGTGTGTGGTGGAAAATATCATGAATTCTTCTTGGTTTGGTTTGATCTCACAGGTATCATATATCGTGATCTGAAACTGGATAACGTTCTTCTCGACCATGAGGGTCATATCAAGTTGACTGATTATGGAATGTGTAAGGAAGGTATCAGGCCCGGGGACACCACTTCCACATTCTGCGGAACGCCCAACTACATAGCGCCGGAAATCCTCAGAGGAGAAGACTATGGGTTCAGGTAAAATATTATTGGGTCGTTACTTACGGCAGTGTTCGTTCCCGACACGTCCCACACATCAAGGTGTTCCTTTCCCTATATCACGGTAATGTGTCTTGATGTGTGTTAAGTTTCTGTGACTTTTTAAATTGCTGTCAGCGATGGGTACCCAATGTTTTATGGATTTTACTCCGCCGGGTACCGCCGACTTCTGCCGTGTCCAGTAATTTCTGTTTCGATGGTGTGTAGCAACAGAGATATTGGAATTAATTATAAATGTAGCCAAGGTTGAAGATTATCAATAATTGCTTCTCCATGTGATAAAGTCAGTGAGGAATTTGTAGAGTCCCCTGACAACCATCTTCTTCTAGCGTAATTTCTGTTTTTATGCAGGTAAGTAGTCTCTCAGTGCCAAGTGGAAAAAATTGCCATTGTTTCGGAGGTAGCAAGTACTCTGTAATTTCAGTAGATTTCAACATGGTGAGATAACCTGAGGAAAACAATGGATTGCTGAAGCACAGTACTAAAAACGTAGCTCACCATCTCAAATATATATTGTGAGGTACATGATTTTTAAAAAAAAAGTGAGTTTCTAGTCAGTAATTACCGCCACGGTGGTCTAGCAGTTAGAACGCTGGCCTTGTAATCCTGGGGTCTCGGGTTCGATTCCCGGCGGTGGCCGAATTTATAACTTGTGTTGGGCAAGGCCGTGGTCTAGGCAACACGGAGTTTTCCTCCGTGGCATCCCAACAATTACTCCATTCACACACAGAAGAAGGCAATGGCAAACCACTTCTGCATCATCTGCCAAGAACGTATATGAACAGGTCCCAGTCCGAGAAAAGGAGGAAAGGATCCTGTTCATATGGA